CCGATTAAATCTTTTTCAACGATTCAATTGTAGATAGGTTAGCGAGGTTCGAAATATCTACCGGAATCACTTTGTCACGTTCCATCGGTCTAGACTTTAATCACTGAATGGAGGTTCATCAAATTTATCAATTACGATCTCGTAACGTATACTTCTATTTACTGCTAGTTAAAAGATTGACGTTCTTTGACATAAAATTTTACATAATTAAATAATTTTGTAAGAGCTTATCTGTAATTATTATTAATATTTGTATTATTTATATTAATAGTAATACACTCTCTCTTGTACAACAGATATTATAAATTCACATACAAAATAGTATTGAATTAATAATGATTTATATGTATTTTTAGTTTAACATATGTTTATATTTTTGTCAAATTAAAATAGCAGCTAATCACTTTATTTGTATTATGGTTGTTAATATTTCTTTAAGGATCGATAATTTACACCACAAAGCTATTTATCTTACCTCAATAATATCAGATTCAAAAATTTTTTTAAATATTTTCTTTCTTTAATATTGTGCAAATTTAGATTAGTTAGTTGTATCACAAGGAGCAATTTTATTGAAAACAGCAATCGTTAACAAATTAACAAAGAATAAGTTACTTATAAATAAATACAAATAAATTGTTAATCAAAATAAATAATTAATTAAATAGGATATTTGCTGTTTTCCTTCGATATAATTTACAATAAAAATCTTTCATATCTTGTCTTAAAAAATTTTATTTATAATCTTATAACGATTTTACCTAGATATTTGTTTTATAAATAAAACAAGCTAAGATTCTTGGCGATCTTTATGCCTCATCTCATAAACGACGCAAAAACTCTTTACGTCATATCGTTTATTATGCACACTCAAACAATACCCGGAAAAGTAATACGCCAACAGACTGCAATTTGCATGGTTGCTCAATATCAGTATACATTTAATGACTGTCACGAATTTAGCTGTTATCTCGTGCCGGTGTTTGCTCGAGGAATTGTGTATGTATATTTTGCCACTAATGACACAACGATCGTGCACGATTAGCCTTCAAGGCCTCGGCCGCTTGGCTCCCCCATTTCGATATTGCTTTTATCCCTTCCTTCTTTCCGTCACTGATTAGGCTACCCTACGTCCGTGATTACTTTTTGAGGTTTCCGCTTATCGCGTGATTAGTGCTACAGCTATAGGTCTGTTTTCTGTGGCTGAACCAATGTACACTTTTGCAACTTAAAGTGAAATAGGGATATATTTGATATTTGATCGAAAGCGAGAAAGAAACTTTTAGTGCAGTCTAGTGGTGTAGGAACAGAAAACAGACCTATGTCTCATTCATTAACAGAATGTTACGTGTTTCAGAAACGTAGGAATATTCCCACTTCGTTATTTGCATGTCGTTATATAATCTTTAAATTTTATGATAAATGATTTTTATTCCGATTTTTTTTAATAAACTACTATTTCTTAAAGTCTGGATCTAAGAAAAATTCATCCTGATGCGTACAGTATGAGAAAAACAAAAATTTAGTCTTAATTTTGTAATATTGAAAAAAATTAAACGTTCTAATACAATTGATTAAATTATAACTATATTATCAGTTTCATAATTGTTGTCATTGCTACTTTCGATTTTTATAAAGCAGCTATTAAATCTGCAACAGTCTGTAATAAAATGGTATCAAAACAGTTACATGTATACCAATGACTACATTTAATTGTCAGTCTCACTCACTCTAAGAATTGACAACGAGAGAGCGGGATAAAGTTTCTTTGCGCGGCGCAAAAATCTCTCCTCGTTTCATCGCATGGAGAACGCGTCATTTTCGTTTCGAGGCGCCGCGAGGTAAAAATAGATGGCGAATTCATGCACGAGGCCGACCTATCCAGAGGTGTGTAATTGAAAAGAATGGCGGGGAACCGCTGGCGGGTCTCCTCTGTGGTTGCGTCGTCGCGTCGTCGAGACGATCGGGTTTATAGATGTTTACCGTGACCGGAGGATACACCGCAGGATATTACGCGTAGACGCTGCGCTCGATGATACCTCGGTGCTTCGCGACGATATATTTCCCAAATATTCAAAATAAGCATTGAAAAGTGAGTCACACGGAGACTTGACGAATTTTTGACTATACAAAGTCGTAAGAAATTTATGCACGCAAAGTTCGGATTTTAATTTTATGAATTTTTAATGTTTCTTTATTTGAGAACTATTATTAGCTTTCATATTTTAGGACTTTCATCTTGAAATGATCTCAAGAGTCTGCTATGTATATTGGCTTAAACGCAATGAATATACATATTTGCTTACGTAATCGTGACGTATTATATTTAGTTGTCAACTTCGTAACATAAAAAAATATTTGTAAAGATATTCGTGAAGAATCGAGAGGAATATTTTTGTACTCGATCAATAAGTTACTTAAATTGATAAATAAATCGCATTTATTCTATGATTAACGTTTCACGTATATTTTTAGATTCGACAACATTGAATGCAGAGGTCCATCAAATATAGTAAATTTTCAGCTATGCTCTAAATGTCATTAGGTTCATGCTGTTTGCACGTGCATTCGTTATCTATCGACACTAGTCTAAAGTCCAAATCATCATAATAATCCTAAAGTGAAATGGCGAGAGAATCATGATACAATCATATTTTAAGACGCATCTATTTCTGAAGCATAAGCATTGGTATCTAAAAAATATTTTAGTATCATGGGACAAGGAAAATAACGTCGCAGCGTCTAGGATTGGTGCAAAAGAAAAGATTTACAATTGTCTTTCAGTTTATTTAAAACAATAATACATACAATTTTCTCTTTTTTTTTTCTTTTAATTTATGTCGTTTTTATTCGTACATTGAAAAAGAATTCATGAAAAATTTGAATAAATATTTGTTTAGATAGTACCAATGAAATCATTTGTACTTACAGTAAATAAATATTTATTCAATTCAAAAAAATTAAACTTAACCCTTCGTGATTACACCTCTTGAAAATTTTACGTTGGTTACACAGGGGACAAAATGATCCCAACATTTTTTTTTAAATCACAATAATTACTGAATATATACTCTAATTGTAGAATATAGAAATGCAGTGGCTTTTTAAAGTTTTTAATTTTAACAAAATTTAAAAAAATTGCAACTGACATCCAAAGAACAATAAACGGTTGAAGATGCAAAAAGGGTATTTTAAATTTTTGGATAAATGGTAATAAGTTTAAGTCTCGTTTTAAAAAATATAAAGTCTCACACACTTTTGGAGTCCCCTGAAGACCCCAGGTGACTACGAAGGGTGAAATTTAAGTATCATTTATTAAATCGAATAAATATTTATTTTCTGTATATAAGCAAATGAATAATTTTTTTTTCAATGTACTTGGTACAATGCGTTGCATTTTTGTTAGATACGAATAGATACGCAAATTTTCCACTTTTCCTCGTGCAATGAATTGTTAACGAACCAAGCGCCACGTATACTAATTCGCGAGCCAAACCGTGAAGGTGGCTGACGATTCGGAACCCCGTCCGTCACGTCGTTCAAACAGAATCCTGTTTAAACCTGGTTAGCGGTCAGATGGCCGGCAAAGACGTACATACGGCTCACGTGAGCAGCGATCGCGCGTCGGTTTGCTCTTCCTATTTTCGTAGCCGTACGGTATATAAAGAACCCGTCCTCGGAAGACGTCGCTGAAAGATTTGGCAGCAGTAACCGCGCTTTTCTGCGTCGCGCGCGGCGCCGTACATAGAGCGGATCTCGAGTAGCGGACGCTCTATCCCCGCTCGCGGATAGAGCGTCCAGTGTTAACACAGGGAGGACACTCAGTTTTAGTCCATCCGTTCGGTGCGTCGATTTTCGCGTTCTTCACCGGACGTCGCGCCGCAGGCGGGGCATCTCAAGATAGATACTCCTTGCCCTCGCCTCTTCGACTCGCGAAACGAACGCGAATGTGAACGAAGACCCAAACGTGGATGACGTGATGCATACGCGATTATCCAGGGAGATACGTTCTTCTCCGAAAGGAAAAAAAAATCCTTTTCAAAGCGGTACCGCACGAGCACTCTGACGTTCCCGCTCTTCGCGGTCTGATTTTATTCCTTCATCGCGTGGCACGTTCCTTCGAACTGGAGATTTTTATCTATTAAGACTACTGGCCGAGTGTTGACGTGAATTCTAAATAACACTAATGGATAACATTTGGTGCAAATAACATTTGTCTTTCTGCGGAGTCTGAACGGTGTTTATCAAGACTAATAACATTCGTCATTCGTAAGGTGGAAAAAAAAGGCAAAATGGGGAACATCGATAGCTCTCACGATGTAGAAATGAACTCACTGTCGATGATGGCAGCAAACGATCGTCCCCATATTATGGTGAATACAAATTATGTATTATTTTGGAAAATAATTAAGGTAATTTAATTGAACGAAGAATGAAAACATTATTCGCTGCAGCAACGAAGTGTTAAGAGAATTCAAAAATGCATTTAAATAATTTAACAAACATAATTTTTTATGAGATAATTAATTATTGCAACAGTTACTTCGATTCTTAACCTTTTTTTTTTTAAACGAGTTAATTTCTTTGCAACGTGTTACGGCAAAAGCCATTCGTAATTGATTTATCGAAGAGTTGTCACTGTTACGTCAGGTCGACAACTCGATCGTAAAATCCGGGAAGCCACTGGATAAAACACGCCAATAAACAACGGAGCGTCTCACATATACAGCTCGATGCATCGGACATGCGAGGCTACGCATAATCTAAACGATACAAACTGACCTGTCCCAATCTGCTCCCCTCCAAGAGAGACAATTACGAACGATCATCGTCCCGGTGTATTCAAAAGTATTCATCGCGTTCGCCGATAACGCGCGTTTATTTCGACCCATTTAATCCGCGCGCGCACCAGTCACGTGCTTTCGCATCGGCCAACGCGATGCGATGTTCGATGTTCGTAATTCGTTCGAATTAACTCCGACCCTCTTGTTCTGTTACAGAGAACGCCAATGCGCCCGATGATAGCGGAATACGAGCCGAAGAAGCAGGGTGTGAAAACAGAACTCTCAGACGTGGTGCTTGTCAAGTAAGTCTGAAAATTCCGCTAAAGAAATCAACGCGAACGAACGGCTCAACGATAGTTGAGCGCGTTTACTATCTGCTACCACGACCAATCATCACCATTGCTTTCTTGCCAAACCCAAATGCTCAAGCAAACGTGAGTGAGAACAAACCCGAGGATCATATATTGTGCATTTACGTTTTTTCGTTAATCTGTGTACTCTATACCCATTCTCTTGTGCTATACTATACATATATATATATATATATATATATATTACTATGGTTATATACATCTTTAATTGACCTTGCTCATTTCTCCTTTTTGTTTTTTTTTTTGGTTCCGTTGTTTTTATCGTTAAACTATTCTAATTGTTAGTATATTACGTACTAATCATGCATACCGCCTGATCGCTGACGTAGAATTCATAGCGTAGCTGGCACCAGGGATGCTTGATGGCCGCCTGCTGAATCTTGGACGACTGCGAAGTTGCTCGTTTGTGTTGCGTACAGATATGTATTTGCTTACTGTGTCATGTTCTTTCACGTCGTGCAAACACTGCGTATGAGAAATTCATTTACCTGAAAACTTAATTCTTAATTTGTTAACCCTCAAGACATAACGTTAGTTTGTGGGACCGTTATGTCGAAGCTTTATTTTTATTCCTTCAGAAAATTAATCAAGAAGTAATTTAATACTACTTTTAAGTGAACAATAATTAGAATAATTAACCTGATTCGCCAAACTGATATTATTCGTACTAAAAAAAAAGTGATGCTTTGAGGGTTAAAACTAATACCGAATGTATAATCTGTGAATCGTTTTAATCACCGTTATCTTGCCAATAAAATAAAGTTTTTCTCTTATCGGATAAACAAACGATGCTAAATATTAGCAATATGTCTATAATGAGATAAGATGTTATCTCGACTTGTCAGATAAACGAACAAATAGTCAAAAAGTTTCTCTTTCTATATTATGCACAAAATTATAATATATAAATATAGAGATCATGATTATCACACAAAGAACATGTTTGTTTAAACATTGTTTCTATCTTACAAATACGTTAGATTATTATTGCAATATAATAAAAATATATGCTTGATGGTAGCACCAAATTATTAAAATTGGTTGTCAATTTAATTCGCGATTACTAAAGTAGTTTTAATTGCGATTTTAGTCCGGAAAAACAATTCGGCGTGCAGTTTGAACAGACAACAATATGGTATATATGCAAGTACATATATAATGTATATTAGTAATTCAAGATTGAATTATTTTAAGCAATGAAGATCCAGCTTCAACCGTAGTAGTCATTTTAAATTTCTAGTATTGATTGGATTTCTCACAGATACGGTCTAAAATAAAGATTCTCTCTTAATATTTGTTTATAATTAAAATAATTTAATATTAATATAATATATATTTATAATTTAGATATATAAATTTAAAAGAAAATTATTTATTTTATTTTCTCTATGAACATTCTTTTTTACGTAAAATAAAATTTTTATTTCCCAAAGTATGATAGTCATCAATAATTTCTTTAATGACTAAGAGTTCTCTCTCTCTCTCTCTCTCTCTCTCTCTCTCTCTCTCTCTCTATCTCTCTATCTTTTTGGTTTAAATGGTAATCGATAAATGAGAAGAACGGCGATAAAATCGCAAACGTTCACTTCCTTCGTCGACTGATTTAGTAGTGCGGTCACTACGAAAATCTTTGGAACTTTTGCGCTCGAGACGAGACTCCTCTCTGCTGCCGTTTTACCCGTCATTCGTCGAAATCCGTTTACGCAATAATCTTCTCGCACATGCGAATTCTTATGACCTTGAAGTGGTTTACGCGCGGTCGGTTAATCTTTAACACCTTCGCGCTTATGCATTTATGTATTATCCCAGACTTCCTGCATTATTCTCGGTATCGCGACTCGTTCTGTTCTAATTTCACTAAACGGAATATCCGTATCAGTCAATTGCTCCCCAAGGCTGACTGATTTCTAATTCTATTTAATTTTCGTATTCTCCTCTTTAGCCATTTACGACTTTTATGCGTCAAAGATACGCAAATAACGAACGTAATAATATGAGACAAAATTGTACCTCTTTCTAAAGACACGGAATTAATAATTAAATTCTTAGTCAATTTAAATTGCGACGAAGATCTCGTGACCAATTTTTCTGACAATTTCGTACAAATAATAATGAAATATTAAGTCGTTTTAATCAAATATTAAATCGTAGCTACTTTTCTTCTTTATGTGTTATAAAGCAGGATATTATCTTAAACAAGCGATATTCGAAGGAAACCGTCCATTAAAAAATTTCATTACGTTGAATTAACTAAATCAATTTACATTTCTTTATCGTTTTCACGTGTATTCATATCTCATAATTTGCGACGAGTAACATCGGTTTTATTCGTGAGAAAAACGGCAACAGAAGGAGAATCGCTACGGTTCTTCTTCGTCGCTGATCGAGAATGCTTCGTGAAGAGGTCATGCGGTATGCAAAGCAGAATATATTCCCAGAGGATAAAGGATTTGTCTTTACTGTATAATATGTGCATTTATATGATTCCAGACTAGCGTATAAACTCCGGGCATAGATTCGAGCTCTATGAAAGTGCTCTGCGAATAATGAAAGAGAACAAAAAAAAAAGATACTATCGTTGAGAAAAAAAAAATAAGAAAATACGACACTGTCGAATCGCTTTTTTTGACACTTTAGCTCGATGAAATTCGCACAAAAAGACGACGCGACGCGACGTCGACGCGATGCCGACTTGGACGCGACACAAAAATATCATCGGACGGTTGCAAAATCCGTGGCCAAGAGCCGAGATGTATTGGCATATCGATTCGGTGATAGATCTGTATTGACGTGCGTAAAAGCGAAAACAAAAATATAAAAAAAAAAAAAGAAAAGTACAAAATAAAAAAAAAAACGCTCGGCCAAGTGCGAAAGGCAAGCAAAAAGGAGGCTTGTTAGTCGTCGTACTGCGTCGTGGCGCTGGGCGTCGCGGTGATGCAGTGCGGTGGTTTGCGGCTGCCCCTCTGTATGTATTATGCCTGTAACGCGACGCGTTGAACCCCACGGTCACGTTGTAATACGTGACGACCGGATACACACAGACTCTAATCCCGGGGGCTTTCTCGACAGAAAGTTTCGCACGACTACGGGAGAGAAACTACCGCACCTAAAAGACATGGGTACCTATAATACCTAAACACCTATACCGTCTTCTTCTTCTTCTTCTTTTTTTTTTTTTTAAACAAATCTATTACACGAACGTGCATTACTCAGTTCTTTTTTTCTCTGTCTCATACACACGTGACACGCGCTCACACACCCGCACATACATACAGCACATGTGCGTATACATACTTGCGTACAGAGCGATTATGCGATACTCGCGTTTTCGATTGGCTGTAGGTCGGTGATAGAAAATTCCCCGCGATTTATGGAACGTCATTCATGAAAGCGAAAATATGTCTGCATGTCTCGAATTAACCGTTAATTATTAACGTACCGACGCGACGTATCCTTCAGAATTATCCATCTACCTGCTATCGTCCGATTTTTCAGGAATGAAATCGTGTGTTTGTGATCAAGCATGAATGCGGAGAATGCGGAGAAAGAGGCTGAGTAACGCAAGCTGTCGTTTATCGCGTAATTTTACAGAATGCGCAAATTCAGCATTTACGCTATTATCATCATGAAATTTTAATAACAAAACGATATCGCTTTGCAAAGCCTTGCTTGAAATTCCAACCGGTGATTGCGATCTGAGTCATCCGACTCAGACTAAATGAAAATGCTAAAAAAGAAAATGTTGCGTGTAAAGAGTTATGTGTTAGATTATAATCAGCGATGTAGTCTAACAATGAGTCATACGATTCGAGTTTCACGTTCATGTTGGCGATAAAACGATGGTTTGCTACGCTTTTTTTCTACATATTCTAGAGAGATCTGGTGGAGACGCGCCGAGAGAAGATGTGGTAATGTTGAAAGACATAGTAATGAAAAAAACAATGAAATATGAATGAAATAATTGATTAAACACACATGTCGTTTTACACAATTTTCTTGTTCTTAGAATATTCATTTTCGACACAATAATGAATAACTCGTAACTAATACTCGTAATTCTAAATACAGTGACAGCTTTTGTAAAATTCCTAGAATACAAGGCGATTCGAGACAGATTCAAAATACAGATTTCAATGGATTCGCAAAGATCTAATTGTAAATAACCGTTTGCAATGGCTTAATGTGTGTTTAATAAATGCGTAAAGTTGTGTTAGAGCTTATATTTGCCTACAATTTTCTCTCGGTACGAACGGACGGAGACGCAGGAGGAGTAATTATTTGAAAAATTCAACGAATAGATTAAGTATTCGCAGAAATATTTGCATTATTCAAACATATAAATAACATGGAGCTTGTCCATCAATCTAGGAGATGAAATCTACATAATCGTTGCAATTTATTTAATTACTTAATAATCGTCCTTACTTTTACATCTACTAAAACTTCCATAGTATATAAACATTTATATAATCATTCAAAATATATTAAAAATTAGTTTATTTTTTCTAATCATTTGAAAACAGAAATATTAATTTAAATTAGGGTGAAATTCTATAATAATTGAAGAAAATATTCTCCTTTTTACGATACGATAATATAAATTGGATATTAAACGGAGAGAACATCTTTTTCTTTGTGCTCACAATCAAATGATTTTTTGTGCTCTTCGATTGGACGTATTACATATTTCGAAATTTTTTCCAATGCGTCTTTTTCGCATTAATTGCTTTGTGCATTAATATCGCATACTGCGCCGAAAATTATTTGGCTTAATCGAAGTCGCTTTTGATGCAAGGGCTCATAACGACTTAATAACGTCAAACTCAAGATGAGAGCACGGATGAAATCACCGTCGTTAAAGACACCAAAATCCCTGCCTCTCACTTGCGTCTCGCGCCCTGTCTGCGCCTCCACTCTCCGTCTTCCTCGGCATGCGAGCGTGCAAGAAAGAAAGAAAGAATCCTCCAGCTCCTCCCCTCCCTCCTCTTACCACGGCACACTCTCATTATATTCCCCCTTCGCCTCAAGTCGTGATGGAAATCGCGGGCACGAGGAAAAACGCCGTACCGTGCAAAACAGAACCAGGTCCCACGTAACACTTATATTCCACGTGCAAAATATATAAGTAAATAAAAAATATATATAAATGTATGGGGATGTCGTAAAAATTTCCATTGCCGTTTCTTTTTTCATCTACGCACTCTTTGAGGTATCAATAACTTGACGACGGAAAAAAAAAATCAAATAAATACACATTTTTTTCTCCCAGCTCTATAATTGTCATAATTAGATATTTCGCTCGAGCTTCCGACAACTGAGGGTCAAATAGTCATAGGTCAAATAGTTGGTAGATGAAAGAAACGGCGACATCCTTGCGGGAACACCCTGTATATATATATATGTAATTTACGTCCCATTCACGGAAATGGTTTGCCATCAATTACGGTGCGGTATGCTAACGCCGCCGGTTTTGCAGATACAAGTGCGAGAAAAATGACGTGCCCATTACGGTCACGAATGGCTCGACCTTGCCGCTCGTGGAGCGACCGACCGACGAGGAGGCCGCCCTTTATGACCCATTCGAGCATCGCAAACTCGCCCATCCCACGTCGGACCTCGACACGCTCATACATCTACTCAAGGGGAGCCTGGGCACGGGCATACTCGCAATGCCGATGGCTTTCCGTAACGCCGGACTCGCCTTCGGCCTCTTCGCTACCTTCTTCATCGGCGCAGTCTGCACTTACTGCGTTCACATCTTGGTAAAATCCGCCCATGTCCTGTGCAGGCGGTTGCAGACACCTAGTCTGGGCTTCGCTGACGTGGCCGAAGCGGCCTTCCTAGTGGGGCCCGAACCCGTTCAGAAATACGCCAGACTTGCCAAGTGAGTTTATTCATGGAAGACGTTACGTTTGCGTTTTATTACCAGGATCATTTAGAAAATATATAACACGACAAATTTCATTATCACCATTTTTTATATGATATCCTCGATATATATATACGTCACGTTGTTATTCCTGTTTTCTCTTTATTTTATATTATTCAGTATATACACTATTTAATATCGTTTCAGGGCAACAATTAATTCGTTCTTGGTGATCGATCTGGTTGGTTGCTGTTGCGTGTACATCGTCTTTATTTCGACCAATCTCAAGGAGGTCGTGGACTATCATACGGAAACAGATAAGGATCTGCGAGTGTACATGGCCGCGTTGCTGCCATTACTCATCATTTTCTCTCTTGTGAGGAATCTCAAATATCTCGCGCCATTCTCAATGGTGGCAAATGTATTAATCGCCACCGGTATGGGTATCACCTTCTATTATATTTTCAACGATCTGCCTTCTATCAGCGACGTACCAAATTTCTCTAGCTGGTCTCAACTGCCCCTTTTCTTCGGCACTGCCATTTTTGCCCTCGAGGGCATTGGTGTTGTAAGTACACTCATTTCTTTATATCGCTATACCACAATAAATTTTAAGTAACATCAGACGCAAATGAAATACTAAAACTTTATAATTTATAGCAAAACTTTTTTAACTTTTCCAATATGATGTTTACAAGTTAAAAAAAATTATTGACAAAAGTTAAAGTACATTGATTTTGATTTTGAATTTTAATTTTGAAGTTTGATTAGAATGCGATTATCGCAGTACAATCACATGATGAAGATAGATATTACGACACTGCGCATCAGAAATAACTTCGCATTCAGTTGCTAGACACGTTCAGACACTTAACGGTCGCGTTCGATTGTTTCAAGTATCGACACGCGTAAATCAAACGGCACGCCTTGCTCTGTGCGTCATGGAATATTTCGTATATTTGTAACACGTACCAACTTGACGAACAAAAAATTGCATTAACATTCTATAATATCTGTCTCTGACAGAAATTAAATCATCCAAGTATAAAAATTCTTAAAGTAAACGTTATTTAATTTTCAATAAAATACAGAGAAAATATTAGAATCTATTAGGTGTTGGAATTAATTCGTAGCGTTTTTTAATGAAAGAATGTTATTTATTTCACATGAGCATTAAAAAATACATTAATGAAAGTACTTCCCATCTCTTGTAAAACGCTACGAATTAATTCCAACACCTAATATTTAAATCATATTTTATATACTTTTTACGTTTTGAAATCTAAAAAAATATTTAAATGTGTTCTATATTTTTTACTTATCTTATATTGATAAAGTAGAAACTATTTACATGTAAACTTTAAATTTTGTGCCATCTTTTGTTTTTAATTCCATATGTATTTCATTATGTATCATCAAAAGTATCGAAATTTGTTTCTAGGTAATGCCCTTAGAGAATAATATGAAAACACCAGCGCATTTCGTCGGTTGTCCGGGCGTCCTCAACACTGGCATGTTCTTCGTCGTATTGTTATACAGTACCGTCGGTTTCTTCGGCTTCTGGAAGTATGGCGACAGTACAAGGGCCTCCATTACGCTCAATCTTCCGCAAAGTCAGGTGCTGGCACAATCCACCAAGGTAATGATTGCTATTGCGATCTTCCTCACTTACGGACTTCAATTCTACGTGCCCATGGAGATTATTTGGAAGAACGCTAAGCAGTATTTCGGCTCCCGGCGATTGCTTGGCGAATATTCCCTCCGTATCCTATTGGTCATCTTTACCGTATGCGTGGCGATCGCGATCCCCAATTTGGGTCCATTTATCTCCCTCGTTGGGGCTGTATGCTTGTCCACGTTGGGTCTCATGTTCCCGTCGGTGATCGAATTGGTAACCGTCTGGGAACAGGAGAACGGCCTTGGCAAATGGAATTGGCGGCTGTGGAAGAATATCGCCATCATTTCTTTTGGTGTGTTGGGCTTCCTCACCGGCACGTACGTCAGTATCCAAGAGATCTTGGAAGGCAAATGAGGCGCTGGATCCGGCGCGAGGAGCGGCTCACGAAGGCTGCTCGCGAATACTGCTCGTCATCCGACTGTTCGTCGGATGGCGAGTACCACGAATGACAGCGTGCTGGACGTCTCTTGCGCGGATGACGCGATGCTGTTAGCAGACAGGTCACCGGGTCCAAGACAGGGCTTCTCCTGGCTCCCTATTCCCGCGTCCTTCCTGTCGGTAGCACGATAACTGTGACAATAATGACGATGACGACGACAATGACGAATGATGATAACGACGAAGATATTTGTAAAAGTCTTTGCGTGATAGAACTTTCATTTATCATTTTCTTAGCAGTAGTCATTTCAATTAGTATTACGCGCATCGTGCACGATTGACGAAGCGCGAAATGTACGGTCGATCGGAGGAATTCGAAAAATGATTTCATACCGCGCGCATTCGGTAACTTATATCATTGTTCTCGCACAAGAATCATGTAGGATCAGCATTACTTAGCAAGATAGAGTTGTATTAGTTTGGTGCTAAAGTTATTATGCCTATCGAGTGAAGTTACAAATGTGTATCAGTTTCAAGACAGAAGTAATTTTATTAATAATTGTAACAATCATACTTTAATATACTTTTCTCTTCTGGGATATTATATTTTTCAAGACATTATTCTGTTTGCAATAAAATTGCGAAATTGTAATTCTATTTAAAGAAGAAACTTATAGAAACAAAATGGCAAGTCTTTGGCGATAATTTAGTATTTTTAGAAGCAGAATTTTGGCTGACAAATTTTTATATTTTATCTTACAATTATATGCATATAGTAGAATTAAAACGGAATATTTATCGTGTTCTTTAGAAATTCCAATCTGAATATTAACGACGAAAGTATAGTGTTTACATTGTTGTTTTACTCCTTTGCTTTCTTGGTCACTTTATTTAATTATGCCGCATCGGCCGTACGTGTATAGCTTTTTGCGGATTTTACAACTGCAGGACGGTTTTCTAGAATAGCGTACGCAATTTCCTGTGGCCGTACGTATACCTTTGTATATGTTTATTGTCACATATTGTGTATATAAATACAGAAACAATCATATTTTGTAAATGACAGATGGGAACCGTACGCCTCAGTTATTACGTGCTTATTCGCTCGATCGGATTATTACTGTAAGTTTACAGTGGTTTCAATAAGGTCACGTGGGCCGCATAACAGAGATTTCGTCACCTAACCATATAAGTGAAGAAGGTGCGTTCGCGTACAAGAATTTTTAAGTGGTTGATACAATTACGCACTTAAACGCATATAATCGATACGCTGAGTCAGCACAGAATCATCTCATTCTTTGCAATTTTATAAGGCTGATCGGACATCTCGATCTACCAGAGAATTCGCGTTTTGCGGCCCGCATATAAACACGCATCTCTAAGACCTCTTCTATACGAAAATGAGATCTGTAAGATACTGCGTTCCGTGAGAGAGCGCCAATTGAGCGTCACATCAGTTTTCTAGTGTTGCCATGTATTTTTAGGAGAAATCAGTCGGATGCGAAATATTTGTAAAATATCAGCTAGTCACTTATATTTTTTAAATATTAAATTTATCATATTCTCTAATGTCAATCTATTACATAATATTATTGAAAATCATGTAAACTTAAAAAATATTTAAATCAATTTTTTTCAAACGAAAATGTTCTGTTAAAAATGTTATTCTACATGTTTTATTTATTTTTTCAAATAGAAATATCTTTTTCGTAATACATATAATTAATATCTAAGTATAAAAACAAAACGAATAATTCAATCAGTAATTATTGGCTAACTTTAGAAACTTACACGATGGAAAGACCGATTTCTTCAGATGTGATGATCAATCGGCGTGATTCCATCGCAAATCGTTGGTCTGTTCCTAGTGCATGATGCACGATGATGTACAAAGAAGATTAATCCATTAAGAGTAGTAGGCAGAAAAGTGCGTAGGTGTAGTAATATCGTGATGCACGCTTGCTAGTCTGTAAGTAAGATCGCGAGGCACCATCACGCGTTATTTCGTCAGCATGAGCGATAATAATGTTCGAATTGATTCTAATGTCGGAAATGTTAGGGGAATGTCCAACACGATTAATTGTTAGCACATTAACTAAAGGGGAAGTAGAGTCGGAAGTAGAAGACGATTCAGATGTTCATCAATACGTTATCTATTGACAGGAAATGGTACAACAAAATTAGAGATCTTTTGAAAAATATCACAAATTAGAAAATCAATCTTTTATTAAACAAAATTGGAAGATACGGATATAAAGATGTAGTTTGGCTACTTTAATAATGAATTTGTGCGTTTTACACATTCGATAATTAGCAATAATTTCAATATATCTTTAGAGAATTTTTGTAAGATACACAAATGACAAGACTGCAAATAATTTTTCTATTTTTAGAAAAAGATTTATATACGTCACTTTTCATATTGGCCTACTTCAAAAGATCATTTTTTAAAGACAGTATTATAGTTAGATTATATATATATATATATATATATATATATATATAAACTATATATTTAGACCTCTGAGCGGTATCATCACTATCTTCATTAACTCTTTATTACGATTTCAGCATACGTATGTATCTTTTTCAAATTAAAAAGAGGTAAATATTTCAACTGATAAATAAATTGTGATAACTTACCGATGTTTCAGTAATTTATAAAAAAAGATTAACACGACAGATAATTTTTACATGTGATAAAATATTATTCAAAGTAAACGATGAATTGTTCGATAAATGAACATTTCAGGTAAAAGATATAGAATGGCATATACCAAATGTAAAAAAGATTTTAATTACATGAAAATTTAATATTAAATTGAAATCTGGTTCATATTTAAATTAAATAATTAATGTTAATATAATAATCACATAAGTATCCTGTAATGCAGCTTTACAAAAATAGATCCATGATGTTGGAAGAACCGAAAGATTTAGATTGGAAAATTTCTCTGTTCTTATAATAATAATAATGATAAAAGTAATTTTTTAAATAAAAAATATGTATATAGAAACGATGAAATAGTATGATAAAATATCCCCTTCGAAATCCAGTCTACGTCCTCTAATAAAATTCTATTTTCGAAAAAGAAACATTTTGTAAGAGTAAATATACATGTTAGACAAATATCACAGGATACACGTAATTCGTACTGTTTTAATAATGCGCCATCAATTTTCAGAGAGTAGAAGGAATCGCATTTTCGACCGCGCAAAAATGAGAGAATAAAGCAGAATAGAAATTTTGTTGAATCTTGGAGTATATTAAACCCTCTATAGTAAATATACAGTGGATTTAATACAAGTGTGAGATGAAATTAAAAAGATAATAAAAAAACAACATATTGTAAAAAAATGAAGAAAGAGAATAATATAAGTAATGTGCGATAGAGAAAAAGAAAGGAAAGAGAAAGAAAAAGTAATACCAGATTTGGGCCATTGGTCCTATTTCCGGATTCCTATTCGTAGAATAAAAATGGGCACGCAATACGTAAGTCGTATCATTTTTGATAGGGTCGTATTATTTTCGTAATGATGCGCTCATTTTGATAATTTTTAAGATTTTATATAAGAGAACGTAGAAATAAAATGTAATTTTGTCCAGGCGAAAATTGATGATCGATGCATGGCGATTATTGCCAGTCTACTCTTTTATTAGAAAGAAGAACAATATATTCCTCATATATGTGTCTCGTTGAAAAGCGCGTGGCTTTTATGATGTAAATTTATGTAATATGTAAAACTGTTTGTTAAATAAATCGACAAAATAGATTTCTACGAAATAATAATTGTTATTGCGTTCTTTGTTTTGCTTGCACAAAACCTAATATTTTTGTATTTATATATTAAGTATCTATTCACAATCTGTAGCTACGTGCTTCCAGAGCAATAATCACCGTGCAAATAGCGTATTTCTGTATGCACAACTATCTTGTGAAAAATTATTAATTTATCAATTTCATTAGATTTTACTATATTTAATACAAAATCCGTATGAAACGATGTTTTATACAATTTATACAATTTATGTCTTTTTTTAAATTGTTTAAAAAACTGAACAGAATAAAATTTATAAAAACTTGATTTTGTTTCCTTAAATTATAAACCTCCACGTATGTATCGCAATAAAAAAGTATGTACATGTAAGAAGCGCAATTTGAATTATGTAATTACACAATGTTGCATAATAAGCAAATTCCGGAAAATTTTACTTGCATATTGAGCCATTAAAGTTTAAACGTCCATAGAATGCGATCTATCGCACAATAATAATGCAATAATGTGTATACATAACAAAAATTATTTGTGTAATATTTCCGCGTGAGAAATGGCTTTAAAATCGATTCGCTCATCAGCAGAATGTATAAACATTATGTAAACAAATACATTCTTTCTTTATAAAGAAATGACTCACAGATATAATGGTATGATGGAACTTCCATGTGTAATTTTTAATTTATATATAAAATTATTTTAGTTGTAAATACATTTTTCATATTTAATATAAATTGGCAAATATATATATATTGCTATTAAAAGTTGTAATAAAAATCTTTTGCAATTCATGAATAATAATTGTAGGAAGAAATGTAATTTTGCGACAATATATATATATATTAGGTGTTGGAATTAATTCGTAGCGTTTT